CAATTTTTGTAAAAAAACTTCATACAGCTGTTCAAACTGCACCTTTTGGCAAAATATTTTCAATATCACCATCTTGCAATCAGCAAAAGCATTTTCTCATAGCCAAAATTCGTACCTGTGGAATAGCTCAGTTGAAAATTAGTAATTAACTAATCCATAATCAATTGATCTACATTCAATACACATTTTCAATTTAATTTTCTAAATCAAACTAGTGAAAAAACCGGCCTTGGTTCAGATCTTCTATTATAGGGTCATCACTTTCAGGGTCTGCGTGCACGAACTAATGGATATGGCGGAGCACAGGCACCCCTTCTTACCTTCTTATCAACTTTCGAAACCCAGCAACAGATGAATGGCCAGGCAAAAAGAGCCAAAGGGGTTTAATGCCGAGCTATTCATATTGGTTCAATGAAATTTCAGACTACATAACGCTTGAGCGATTCGTCAAAAATCAAAGCGTCAAGGTGGAAAACTCTGACTTATTCAAAAATTATCCCCGGACCGATAATCTCCTACAACAACCGCATTCTTTAATAGAGCAAATTTCTACAGCATGTATTACTTTCTAGGTATTTCTTCCTGACACTTCAATGACAAACCAAACTTCATAGCCGAATACGAGTAGCCGTCCTTCCTTCTTGGTGAGAAACAATCAAAATAACAGAATTAAATGGAATACAGCACAACTGAGGCCATTTTTCATCCTTCGGAGCACAGAATACGTTCCATCTCTGTTTATTCACTATTACTGTTTACTTCCAAGACCATCTGACAGACTACCAATTTTTCGACGTTTTTTTCATATTAGTATGGGCTCGCTCCAAAGATCTGCAGAATAAACATAGGTGAAATATCAAGTGAGCCATCTGACTAAGGTTACTGATTGTCATCTGATGGGCCCACTTTCGGTGCCGCCTGTAGCGGGAAGAGGCAAAAAAAGAGCTCCAACAAAGGTAAAAAGAATAAAGAATAAAGTTTTTGGCTTTTGGTTTAATCAATCCCGTCTGAGGGATGCGCCCCGCACTCGACTTCCATTCAGATCGTAGTGACGTAATGAGTGCGTATGTGGCCTATACAATGACTTGGCCAGCCGACGTACAAGTCAGTGCTTTTATCCTCCCAGACAAGTCTGGTACCAATTCACCGACCCCGAGGGATGGAATTCTTGGTTGGCCTAAGCGGGCATCGATCATGTATCACACGCACGGTCAGAGGTTCGAACCCCTGACCGTGCGTGTGATACAGTACGTCAAATCTTAGTATGATATAGTAATGTCAACAATTGATAACCAACAAAGGTACTCTATGTAAAGACTACCGCACACGGGCTAAAGGGCTTAGGAAAAGAGCTCAGACTGAAAAAAGCGAATGTCAGAGCTTTTTTTCGAATTATTCCAAGATAACTGGTTATAGAAAGTAGTCCAGACAAACTACAATTTCCTCCACTTGTACGAGCCGAGCAACTCTCAGAAATCCTTAATCCCTTCAACATTTGGAGCCAACAACTTGCACCTCAAAAGGACCCGAATCTGTACGAGGATGGGGAACGCACGAAGCTTAGCTATGTTTGAAAGGGACGATGCTTCTGTCTGCCTTCCATTTAGCATTCTTTGCTAGCGGCATAATTTATGCTCGCCGTTCACCTTCGACGAATTATTCTACAGTCTCTGCATACAATGACAACCTCACCATCTCCCAAGAAACGTTTTTGTTTTTCATACCGATTGATTACCTTAAACTCAATTATTCCCTGCCTTACCCTCGAAAACTCATCATCACTTCCTTTCCTAGCCTTTCAGGTACATCGCGCACTATGATGGATCAGAGACAAGTGATTTTTAGAGAGATAGACAACCTCAAACAGGCTCTCCCAGTCAGCAAAGCCATTCTGGAGCAACAAGTGGGTCGATCTCCATCGAGACTTGTTTTCTAGCCCTATACCACAGTTCCAGGATCGAACCTCCGTACTTCGCGTCGCCTCAACTTACTTAGCTATGCGAAATTATTTTAGTCGGCAGGTTCTTTTCTCGAAGGACATCATAGAGACCACATCGTTGATTCTTCAGGTATATCTATCTTGAGTAAGGTGTCAAGTACAGACCTACAAGTGAGCGATTCAGGCACTGGACGGTTTTTGTTTCATATTGGATGAACGATTCCATATTCTGTACATTACCGAGTCCGTATCAACCCATCTCGGTTTTTCGCAGGTATACGTTTATGCGTTACACAAGCCAAGATGGGGACCGCATTAAATTCAGTCAGCTTTGAATATGGGCGCCCCAGAGTGGGTCTATTTGCATGTTCCCGGTATTGTTTAAGATATTCGCAGGCAGTTAGGCAGGCAGGCCGACAGACTGAACTTACATAGAATCGAAGAGCTCGCATAAAACAATTCTTATGGTGGTTTAGGTACAGATGGTTGGCTGCTGTATGAGCGATTTCGTACATCCCGAAGATTTCTGCGTGCTCAATCATGTGATGAACATTAATGTCGGAGTACCGCAGTGCTACACACACAAGTAAAACCGATAAGAATTTCCTCCATCGATTTTTTTCCCCAAAAAAGTGTTGTAATAGAGCTTGAAGTGAACGAAAATGCAAAGTTTCAAAATCGCTTAACATTCGACTTCCATTAGTTATCTAAATGGCTTTCAATTCATATTTGGTGCATAAAATGAAACTGATGAAGTTCGTCAATGCATAAATAGGAGCTACGACTGCATCCGAATCGGTGTAGAAAAAAACTGAAGTGCTCAAACCTAAATATAAAAAAATAATTTATAGACCTGCTCGAGGTATTCATATTTGCGGAAGGACGCAGGTGGTGTAATGGCAAGTGGCGTACCATCTCACACGCATAGTCAAGGGTTCGAATCCCGAATCGGTATCCGCATAGGCCACCCAAGCCTTCCATCCCTCCGGGGTCGCTGAATTGATAGCAGACTTGTCTGGGAGGATAAAAGCACTGACTTGTACACACTTGGCCACCACAAGTCATTGTATAAGCCATATACGCATTCAATACTCCACTACGATTTTAAATTGAAGTCGAATGCAGTGGCGCATTCTCCAGACCGAACTGATCAACGCCCAAAAACATTCTACTCTGTCCTTCTAGACACCTATTTTATTTTACTTACTTCATTTTATTTTTTTAATTCGAAAAACAAGGATTGTAGTAATGGAATAATGACGTTGAAAAATAATAGCTGTATAGTTACTAAAGATTACATGAGGTTAAATTTAAAAAGAAGCGGTTCAGGCCGTAACTCCTCACATTTCCATGGAACGTGTCCACAACTAGTATTCAGTAAAATGAGCTTCAGAGTGTGCAATTAAGTGGTAACTATGTCCGCGAATGGAGAAAAAGAAACTGTTTTAGGCTCGAGTCGACTACACAGTTCACACTCAGAATGACTTCTAAGTTGCCAAAACGAAGCTGTGGTTTTATGTATGCTGGATACAAGGCATGTTTGGCACAACGCTTCCAGTTGAATAGCGTTTTCTGCTTTTTTTCTTGAAACTGTGGGAGTAGAACAATCCTGATCCTCATCACGAGTACAGTGAGTACTTCCTGACGATAGGTCTAGAGTGGAGTCAAACTGTTACTTTATCTTTCGGTAACCTGTGCTTGTCTGTTTCACATCAGTTCTCCCATTCAGCCCTTTTTAGTATGAAAGCCAATGATCCTGGAAAAAGCTGGACCACTGCCTTACCTTTAAACGTCTTATCCAATCCTCCCCCACTTATTGTTAGCATTAAACTGGGTCGCCCAGCCCCCATCAGCTATTCTAGGCCTGGTAGGATAAGGTGTATATCACGCTTATATCGTAATCGTCGCCACCTATAATGGAAAAATACCAAAAAATGACTAAGACAGTTTAATCGGCCAAATTCCTTTTCTAGACGATACTCTGTACTGGCTTCGTGCGCGGCGTAGCAGTGAACGGAGTCGTACGAGGAGATATCCTTCTGGCGAGCGGACAAATGATCGACCGGCCAGGTCTCCTGGAGGTAAGCCCATTGCGGACGTTTTACATAATGTTAGTTGCCCGAAACGGAAAGTTACAGGTACCTCTGAGCTCCCAACAATTCCTCCTTCGCACCACACCCGACCTCTGTATTGTGTTTTGTGACGCTAGGTAAGTCTCAACTGTGCATTTTCACTCAAAATCGAACCTAATGTCCACAATTCAGGGTCGGTGAGGTGCTACGCTTCAATCCGGCTGATCTCGTAGATCGCAGTCTCTATCATTTGATCAGTGTAGAGGATTGTGAATCACTTCTCAGAGCCCATATGATGAGTAAGTGAACCTTCTGAACTGACGCCGCCATTAGACTCTTTCGCTGTTTTTAGTTCTGAGACCAGAGGAATGTCAATCAGTCACCCAGTATGTCGGGATGTTCTGCCAGGGCGGTGGACTGGCTACGGTCGCTTTGCACCTCATCAAACTTCCCAGTAATCATGTTGGAGCCACTTTTTCCATATCCATCATCTGCACACTAGCTGGGTAGGCTTTTTTCAAAAAATGACCCGAAGCTCATTAGCAGACCAAACCGATCCCATACAAAGAGCGACATCTACAAAGGCTCGAAACAGTTTGAATCATTTTCGAAGCTGGTTTTCAGACTGTCTCCGTTGCCAGTGACTATGGACGTAATCCAATTTCTCCAACCATTCGATAAGAAAGAATCGATAGGCTTGGGTTTGTACTTTTTTTTGGAAGAAATCGAGTTGCGAATCGAGATATCAGTCGAATACTTGTAGGAGCACATTCGAGCGCATTTTATGCCGACGCGATGAACAAGGAGTTGGGTCCCAGCCGATTACTGCCTCTCATAGGAAACAAGCGACCTACTCGAAAACGTAACGATTCAGATCCGGAGGCGTCAATGATGTCGACAAAGCTCCTTCGCTCTATATAGAACTTTTGCGATAACAGAGCTATTTGAAGGCACAATCAGCGATGGCATGATGACATGATTGGAAAATTATGTAATCACAGTATTCATGCGAACGAGTGCGCCAATGGGCGGAAGAGAAAACAAAAGAAAAATGCCGAGAACCCTAGACTATTGGCCCTATATGGAACTCTCCACTCTCGCCTTCAAGGGAGAATGGTGACGAGGATGGAATTGGAACGCCACCTTCCCCATTACTGAGGTAAGGTGCTGTACGAGTTAGCGTTGGGCAGCCCGTCATGTAATAGCTGTGCTCACAACACGGTCCACCTCTCGTTAGCACTTCCAGAAAGCCGTTTGGCACCTTCATCAGTGGGCATACTTGACGACAGTGAGCATTTCGAACAAAGGTCAAGCCCCCCCCCCCCTTGAGTTATTCCTATGCTGTTTTCCGACGGGATCATGCCACATATGCCCTAAGGCCTGACTTTGGCTCATTGTTAGTAAAATCTGAGAAGTCATTCACTTCCCTGATTGTGCCATTAATAATTTTATAAAATTGTACATATTATTGCCGAACCACTGCTTTAGAAGTGCAAAGCATGAAACTACCAGTGTCATATAGGGTCAATGACAAGTTATAAAGATGAGACAGACCAATTTGAGCATTTTACTAGGTATTCTCAAGTAACAGAGTAGATGGAGTAATGAGGGAAGTACATAGACTAGGGAAATGATATCAGGCACTCAAGACTGAAGCCTTACCAATGACTTTAAAAAAATGACGCGGAACGGCAAAGGCGTAGTCACAAATAGGGTGATTTCATGTTTGTAGGTTTTCATCTGAAAAACAAATAAACAAAAGGAGACTCACCACCTGAGAGTTCCAACTACAGTGGAGCAGTCCTTCTTTACAGTCTGCATAGAACTTTCGGGTAACTCATCTTACCATTGGTATTGGTATGGCAAACTTCTGAAAGTAAAACGTATCATTTAAACAGCAATCAGAGAGCTATTCGCGAGGCTTTTATTGACCATACATACAGCTCGGTTTTTGAAATTAGCTACCCAAACTCATTGGTTCATGGGTACAAATAATGATGAAGAAGGAAAAGATGGCGGTAGTAGCAGGACTACCTAAGGGTAGGAAGACTGGGTGCCCTCGGACAGGGCGATGCTGACGTCCTCATCGCCATTCTAATGCCAAAATTGTTGGTCTTATCCGGAGTCAGGGTCAAGCCACCAAGGAAATCGAAGTCGTAAAATAGCATTTTCATGTGGGAGACACCTGGGCGGCTAAACTTCATCCACAGACATTTCCTTTTATCCGTTTGCACCTTGCTATCGATTTACGAGACATCGATTCATGGCCGGCCCAAAAGTCGCGTTCCATTGCCAACGCCGTCGTTCTGGCGCTGACATCGGCGTGCGGAGCTGGTACTATGAATGCAGCTACTGGGACAGGGTTGACCGATGCATCATTAGCCTGCCTTTTTTACCATGAAGACACCTATCTGAAGGAAGTTTACCTAGACTCAATTTTAGGTGCGAGAATCCGTTGCCTCTGGTGAGTAGCACCGAACTATCTGTGACCAGTCCTAGTAGTTAGCGTTCCAAAGAAGTGCTGGCACATCAGAAAAACACCAGCGTTCTGTACTATAAACGCACAACTTGACATAATTACTTTCTTCTCCTACACTGCCAATCAGTTTATACTACGCGGGTGCCTACCAGTCAGGTTAATCAGTCGCACGCCACAGAATCACGGACAGATGTCGCATGCCCGCAGTGGGACAGAGTGCGAACAACTGGTAATTAGCAATCAATAAGAATTTGGTAACAAAGTATGAACCACACACTGATAAGCTGCACGTAAAGATTCGTAATACGAGACACTATAATAACTACAGATAAAGGATAAAGGATAAAGTTTTTGGCGTTAATCAATCCCGTCTGAGGGATGCACCCCCGCACTCGACTTCCATTCAGAATCGTAGTGGCGTAATGAGTGCGTATGTGGCCTATACAGTGACTTGCGGTGGCCAGCCGATGTACAAGTCTGTGCTTTTATCCTCCCAGACGAGTCTGGTACCAATTCACCGACCCCGGAGGGATGGAAGGCTTGGTTGGCCTAGGCGGGAATCGATTCGGNAGTGCGCCACTTGCCACTACACCACCTCCGCCCCCAACTACAGACATAGACTGACAATAGTGACGGTCTGTACTGCGCACAGTACGTCGATTGGCACAAAATGCCTTAGTTAAAAGAAAAAGCTGCAATAAAAACATGAATGGCAGATAGATAGATAGATACCAGGCTCGGGTAGCGAAACTGAAGCGCGGTACTGCACGCCAACGAACAGTGCCACGTCGACGTCGGTGGCCCAATGCTGGAGTCGGCCTTAGGCCACCAATAAATCGAAATCCGAAACAGCATCTAACGCTAGAGACACTCAGACGACTGAACTTTATCCACGAACACTTCCTTTTATCCATTAACCTGTCCCGTCGCCATATGAGATATCGATTGCCGACGTCGGCGGTGTTCTGATGCCGACGTCGGCTGTCTAGGCGCTTCTACTACTATAAATGCACCCTTTGAGACAGAGTCCAGTGACGTTTCACGTATCTAGGAAAACTAGTCTGCCTACTTACTCCTTAGACACCGCTGTATGGACATTCTCGATTAATAGTGGTGCTCAGAGATGGTGTAGAGATCCGCTACCTTCAATGAATAGCACGGTGCTGTTTGCGATGGGTCCCAGTAAGCGCTCAGTACAAAGTACTGGCAAACCGAAGGAAAAACTCAAAGTTCCGTACTACTAGGCTATCCATCAGTCAGACTAACCAGTAGCAGGCCACATAATCGCGGACCAAATCAAATGTTAGCTGTTGGATTCGGCATGAATAACTTTTAATTGAAAACCAGTACGACTTCAGTGTCAAGGTATAGACCACACACACTCGTATAGGTTGCACATTATAACTCAAAAGCTTTTATATTCAAATTAAAATGATAATTTCGGCTGGTATGCACTAATATAGTCTAAACGTAATCACTACGAAAACATTAACGATATCGGAACAAATCGGAATTCAGAACACCCATAAAACAATAATACAGCTCTTCTAGTAAGATTATAATGAAGAACTCGTGAAATAAAAGCTGGTACCATGTAATGATTGCCGGGAATGATTTAACTTCTAAAATGAAAGGAAAGGAATGAGTTAGGAAACGACCTACACAACTTAACTACACGAATCAATCACGTTATTTTACGGATTTTACGGACCGCACTAACCAAGTAAGTGAAAATGAAAACCACTTTCTATTCAATATATATAGGAAACAACTATGTGCAGTCCAGTTCGCGCAGAAAGGTGTAAAAAGATGGAGGCCAGAGAAGCGTGCGGTCGCGCCCCATTGGTCGTTGACGGGTTGTCGCGGCCGTACAGGCCACTTCCCCTGCTTCCTTGGTCCCACCACATAAAATTGACTATAAACTGCAAGCTAGGACTAGAAAATAAAAACTACGACAAGAATTACAAACTAAATGGACGGCGAAGACGCAGAGCACAGATGGAAAGACGATAGCTGCCTCAAAATGAATTGGCCACATATCATCTGAGCTTCACGTTTTAAGCCTAAGGCAAAGATGCGCATTCACAGCTCGCACAATAGTGATATAACAGGGATACTTCAAATTTGTACAAGAGTAAGGAGAGAAAAAGGTAACGATGACTTCTGGGTACATAAAGATCCATCATCAATAACATCAGAATGAATACAGACAGAAGGGTAAAGATAGTGTAGAAAGGTCAGTACTGTGTACAGTATATCGAGTATGAAGTAATGTCAAAGAGAAAAAAGTTGCTATAAGAACATGAATACAGTGCCGAATACGAACTTTACGCTGTTGACGACTATGGTGGCAGAGGTGACTTGTTGTTAGCCTGGGAGTGATTTTCGGCTTGACCCACACCATTATCATGACTTTTCGTCGGTTGTTCCCCACGTAGGACGTTTGCCACAAAAACGGCCAAGTCAGCATTAGTCCAATAGCTGAAGTGGCTTTTCAGCACTGACCAATAGCTCTTATCCGTTAGAGCTGGCTGAAATTGGAATATTGCAGTGCACTGCCGTTACGACTAAAACCAATGAAGAATTTGTCTTCAAATGTTATAATTAAGCTGAACCAACCATAAAAAAAGAAATAAAAGCTGGATGTGGAGAAATAACTATCAACTCAAATGACTTTTTCGATGAAGTCCAATGTAAAGCGTACAACAATCACCTGTAACTGGAAATCCATCCGATGAGGTGGTCGGACACCGCTACCCAGCAGGCGATCAGCTAGAGGAAGTTCTGACTGAAAGCATTTAATTCACATACCATCGGGAACCACACCATATAATTATAAAATAATATTAATATTGATACACAATCGAGCGAATGAAAAAAATTATCATCGGGAACAGTACCAAACATCAACTCTTACCTCAGCCTCCTTCGCCACTTCGACAGTCGGTTCGGATGAAGCTGCTGCCGGTATGGCAGCCTTCTTAGGTGCGGCAGTGGTGAAAGAAGAGAACCAACCCTTTTTCGCTGGCTTCTCTATGGAGGCTCCGTCACCAGGTGGCGTTACGCACCGAGGAGAAGAACCTAAAAACTCCTAAGTAAAGGCTTGAAACTGAGTGCAGAGATGTGGCTGCGCTAGAAACACCAAATTCGACACAATCCCACACAGTGGAGTGGTGGAACGGCAGAACACTCATTGAGGGCACAAAGAGCGGGGGAAAGGTCTAACTAAACACCCAAAACGGGAACAAAGGCGGCATGCAGAACTAAAAAGCTGATAAAAACCGCCAATAATGGATACACTACAATCAAACTTGCCAGCTGGAGCAGAGGCATGTGCTGAAATACTTCTATCACAAAAGATATGTTGATCCTTCAGCAATAACACGACTTACACTGATAGATATCTAGAGAATCATATCGCAAAGTATATCGCATTAGCATCAGACAAAAACGAAACCGAATGGCAATTCGTGAACAGATGATTTTGCGCACAAACTTTTGGACTACTGGTCATTTACGAATAAGTAAAAGTACCTAGACAATAATTAAGATTAGCCTAAGAGGAGGGTTCTCCTCGACAGTCAGACGATCTTTCTAGTGATTTATCAGAGCACCAAATCATAAGCTAGAACATGCCCAAAGCCAAGGCCCTTAACCCTCAGAAGTGCAGTTCATAACCGTCACCAATTTTTCTCCGTGTTCATTTCCAAAGTAGGAAACTCGAACTGGATCTTATACCGAAGTTATTTATAACTTTTATACAAACCGATTCTAATTTCGGATAATCTTTCATTCTATATGGGAGGCGAGATTCAGAAAAAAGACCTGGACCGGATACCTGACTCTTGAAATGAAAATTAAGCTTATCAGTGAGTGCTAATTTCGACGGATGCTTTTCAACTACAGGCACTACTTCTAACAACTGCGTAAGCAAACTGAGACGATACGAAAAAAGGACAAAATAGTTGTGGTAAAAGCAGCAAACTGAGAAGCCACTGCCGAATTTTACTTAAATCGTTGGTGCTGGAATTCCTAGTAAGAAACCGCGCAATTCCCTACAGCCAGTAAACAAGGTTATCGCTTTTACCCTTCGAAAGTCCAGTGTTATGAACAGCTAAACGATTTACCTTTAGTCTTAAACAACTGCATATCTGATGTAGGAATGTTCACCCCTTTTCACCTCTAAAGATTTCAGCAGACTATAGAAGAATTCGGAAAACAACCCTACATCCACTTTTGGCATCGTAATCCGAGTCGCAATCGTCCTCCTCGTCCAAATCGTCGTCACCCCCACTCCGGGCATCATTCTGAAAATGAATACAATTCTAGAATATGGTTGACGAGCAATTCAGCAAAAAAAAAAACAATTTGTTCCGCCGTCCGTAAATTTTCATGAAAATTCAGATCAAGACAGTAAGTTGGAGTGGCTTATCAGTTTCCAACTTTTGGATTTCGGTTTATCGTTTGGATCGATATTGGTACTACCGTGTTCCCTTCCACGTTCGATGTTTTCTCTTATTAGGCTCGCTTGGTGCATTTGTTGGTTTGACACGTCTATCGGAGCGCATAAATAAATGAATAATTTACAAAGAAGGCAGCACTGAGAACATGTTGGTAGAGGAATCAGTCACAACAGGGGTCAGGAACTCTCTCTGCATGAATGGTCCTTGCATTCAAAACTCTCTTGCATTTTTTATTAGTATATATGATCGCTTCTGAGAATGGGAGCTTGGCGAAAGATAGCACGAGAGATTGGAAATTGTAAAGGTCCCAGTTCAAAAAACGTGACGAGCAAACCAAATCCATCCTGTTCTGAGCAAAAGGAACCGTTTTCAGTGCGGAATCCGATTTTTCCGTAGGTATCATTAGGTTTTCATTGGAAATTTCTGACTTCTCAATATTGTGCTGAAAGGGTAATGTCAGGCCCTAATTATCACTTGCGACGAACCAGGGTATAAGCCATAACACTTTACTGAAATGACAAGTTGTCGCATACTCACCGATTTATTCTTCTTAGATTTCGCCTCATTTTTGAGCTTCTTCATGTAACTTTTATATACATCCAATGGCAGCTCATCGTAAGAACCACGTGCTTAAAGAAAAATCTTCTTGTGACAGAAATCAGCCACCAACATAATCCTACCAATAGTGTTATCTTAACATAATAAACAATAAAAATTCAAACTTCGAGTAGAAGAACCATACCACGCATGTCGTGACTGGTGAAAAGCTTTATGGGACGGATGTAGCGATACTCTGGTATAAACATTGGCTCTAATCTGTACGCCACAGGATCGTAAGGATGGAAAATATTGAAAATGCGCTCCACCTGAACGATTCGCATTTAGTTCCGAAACAGCACTGAATGACCCAGAGCCTTTTACTCACATTCATTTTGGCTGGCAACAGATCAGTGTGAGTCGCACCGCGCATCACTAGGAAGACAGCGAGAGGACTTCCAACAGCGAACAGATACTTGACCTTAAACCAACCAAATATACACTCTCATTCAAATTCTTGCAATCATAAGCATGGCCATTTGAACAAATAAAACTTGAAAAGACAGAAGGATAAACGGATCACTGACCTTGAACAAGAGTTCCTCATCACTGTACTGTAGCATTTTGTTGATTCCTCCATCGATTTTTTCATACAAACTGAAACTGCGAAAAATTGGGAAACAAGCGTAAGCAACATCATAAATCTAATGAAAGAGGTCAAACAATGAAGGAGACGGATTCACCCATGTCATCCTTATGAGTAAGTAATGTTATATGAAAAAATGCTTGCGACTACAGACTAACTTATAGAAAGAAGAGCAGCTTAGTGAGAGTGTTCAAAATCATTTTTGTGACTCAAGACCCCATCGACGGGAAATACTTAACAGACAATACTTAACAGACAATTTCGTCAACAGACAAGTCTCTCGACGAAATTTCAACGTAGCTACTGAACTGCCAATACAAAAAGCTTCAGATGCTAAATGTATCCGAACCTGTCCTCCAGAAAGAAAACTCACACATCTCTAGCCTTCTGGAAAGCTTTCAAAGCTTCTCTATTCTCAGGATCAGTGCACTCCTCCAAATGTGTATCCTTAACATATGAAATTTAACAGTTGCAACTGGAATAAACAGAGCACCGCAAAACTGATTAAAATATCTCACCATCGCATGAGTAACATATTTATCGTAAAGCAGAAAAGGAGACCAACGAAGAAGAATATCGTAGATGATAACAGACCCAAGAGAATGTGCAAATATTGAAACGGGACCAGAAAAACTCGGATTATTTTCCGTAAAAAGTGTATAGATACGATTCAGCTGACGAACAACACCACTGATGATCTGAAACTCCATACTAACTGTTCTAATCAGCGTTTGAGACAAAAAGAGAGTTTTCCTTAAAGTAGGTAGATACCTCTCTACGGTAGAGGGGGCTTTGATAGTACATTATGTCCATAGCAGTGCTATTGAGAACATTCCGCATACTACTCATTTTCGGCAATGTTATGACATCAGTCACACCATCGTCTAAGAAATCAGTTTGGAAATAAAATCATAGCAACGGAAGAAGGCAATAAAATTTACCTAGCTTTAAAATCGATCTCCACTCCACAGGTAGAAACATCGGCCGACTTTTCTCTTCAGGATAACATCGTTCTATTGCACTAACAACAGCCTCCCGAACTCTAAAAGAGAGGAAAACTGAAAATAAGTATGGTTGCCAACTTAAAACAATTATAAAATGAAAAAGGAAAAGAACGAACTGCTGAGCATTCTCTGCAATGAGATTTTCGTAACCCTTCTGTCCGATGCCGTGAACGACGAGTATAAGATGGCTTATTTCCGCTGGTCCATCGTCCCATTCCGCATCTTTGTGGAACCCACGACGCAAAGCTTGGCTCTTTCCCCAGCCAATGTATCTGTACAAAACTAATTGGTTACGTGCCCTGATAGCTAGCTCTTGATCCCCATTAATTATAATACAAATAGCTTTTTCTTGACATGCAGATATAATCGAAATCTAAAGTAATTAACCCAAATCGGAGACGGGCGAGCCAGGGCCATCCGTTCATCGAATTAAGTTTTTGATGTAATGCTCTTTCCTTGATACGGCCCAAATTTCAACTAGTAGTGGTCAGCCATGAACCTAACTAATTGATCTGACTGAAACCTATATAAGAATGACTGCTCAAGCCTAAAAAGGCGCTAAGCGAAAGAAATCAAGTACGTCACCTAGCGCCCGTGGAGATGCTGTAATGAAAACAAACGAATTAGTTCGAGACGATTATAAGCGAGATGGGAATCAACAAATAATAAAAATTCAATTGATCTTGCTTATTTCAATATGAAGATATTCTTCAAAGATCTTGCTTATTTCAATATTAATGACTGAACAAAATCTTCTATATCTACCACTTTTTTTGTATCCTGAGTAAATAGACGTAATGGGAAAAAAAGGCTACAGTCTCTCATAATGGTGGACCAACGAATGCGTCCTCTACGAGCACATACTTACAGCTGACACAATGTTATCAATGAGTTTACCTTAATATGGCTCCCCTTTTGAACGAGAGCGATACGTCGATAACAGAGCTCCATCGAATCTCCATTCCTTCTAATTGTAACTCAGTCAACTCTGGAATGTAACTTTGGTCGATACTGCTAGCAAATCGGTCATGTAATAAGACGAAGCAAAACTAACGTGGTTTATTACTGGCTTCCTTTGCGGAAAACACTGTAAGTCCTTCTGGAATAGTTTGACCTCTAAAGTATTGTAAATGGTGAGCTTCGATCGCTTCAGCCACTGGTGGTTCTAACGGTTGCCAATCCTTGAACAAGTATTGAGAACTCGACTTCAAATAAGGGAGAATTCGAAAAAAAAGAAAAAAACGTAGTCTCGTGGCCAAAGAAATATATGAAGATACAAAAAAAGAAGACAAGTACTTGCCTGGAAGAACCATGTGCCCCTTCGTATTTCACATGAATCTCCCTTCCAGTAGATTGCCTCCACCTTCGTTAGTTCATCATTCACTCTGGAACGAATAAGACAATATATCAAAGAACGTTGCTCAAAAGCCAATGCACCATAGTCGCGTTTTGGCCGATAGGGGCTTAATGTCTCAAAGGAATGATCCGGTTCCACGCTTTACCCTTCCCTTTCTCGCAGAGTTAATCGCGCCAACTGTCTCAACGACGTTGAACGAACGACGCAATTCATCATTGAGGGCAAGTTAACTCCTACAATGTTCTTTCGCCTTAAATTTATTACACTCTCTCTTCAGTCCCTCATGAAGCCTGAAAAAGAGTCACAGCTAATTTATCGCTGATCGCAACCCAACCATTACCGTCGAATCGTCAATACTATTAAGTTATCAGCGAAACCCACAAGCTCGTTGATTGGACAAACAAAAGTAATAACAAAAATTCAGAGCTGTGATTGACTGACAATTTGATCTTAAATAAAATAACTTACTTATAAAGCCCTTCCAGTACCACGACTGATTGCCTAAACGTAAAGCCATTTTCTAGGAGTTCAACGGTCATTTGTTCGTCCAATGGAATACTAAATACGGAGCGATATTTCGCTTCCAAAAACAACGAATCTTTTCCTGAAAATAAACACCATTCATCACCGAAAGAACTCATCGTTAAATTTAGACGCACCATTGAAATTAATCCATTTATCAACTTCGTTTTTTCGATAGAACCATCGCACTTCGCAGCATCGAAGCTCGGTGACCTGAAATATAATAGATTCTAGACTAGCTAAAATACAGATCCACGCTTCCTGAATCATCTAAGAAAGCTAGTTTTGCATCTGTACAACACAATTCACAACAAATCACGTCCATTCAGATACCTTCGGACGTTTCGAAGTCGCTTTAATCTGAATATGTCCATATACAGCAGAAAAAAAACCTTTTTCACCAAGAAATAAATCTACTGTAATCACCCTGACATTACTATCTTTCAAATATGATCTCTTATTGATCGAATAAGTCACTGGTAATGATCGATTCTAATCTAAATTACGTCAAACGCTCACCCCATTCAAAACCGTGACGTTTAAGCTGCCTATTTCGATCATAGACGGCCTGCTTAGAAAACTGTTCGTCAAATAAATTTGGCCCTTTCTCGACCAAACCAACCTGATAACAGTGTTCCATGGGCGGGATCAAATCCGAGGTGTAGTCCCCGGTCAGTAAACGCTGGTCGCTTTCCTTGGTTCTTCCCCATTTCATCGTTGTTAAGCCACACACGCTTTTACAAAATCGGCAAAGACCTGCTCACCGATTGCCAAAAGCACAGGGAGACTGCTCCCGATTGATGAGGGAGACTACAAAGGGGAAAGGCCTCGCATTCAGGCCAAAGTGAGCTACTGGATTTCATAACTGAATCCGGCCGGGCTCTCTGTTCCGGCTATTTATACAGTGTCTGCCGAAACACAAACGTTTTTCGAACCAAAATTTCAGCACAACCTCCAAAGCTTTCGTCAAATACATCAGCTTTGTTAGACGAATCTCATTGCTTTAGCATGCCTCTATCACATCTTATCCTATACCTACAACTTTAAGACTGATCTATCCATATTCTCATGCACCCTCTCGAAGGAAAGTTTCTTCGTGAGAACTTCCATGACCCAAAGAAGAACTCCATCACAGTATCGTAGCTGCTTCACAACCATAACTTACTGTCTTAAAACATAGTTGCTAAATAACCACTGTTGAGTCAAAAAGTAAAAAGCGCTTCACCTCCTTTTGCTCACTATCAGGGTGTGAAATCAAAACCGAACAATGAGATGCCGCTTCTTCTATCGTTTGGGCTTGGCAATCATTCATCGAACAACCACTTCTCGCAGAACTCATGAAAAATGAGGCATACTAGGCTAACTACATGCTACACCTGACCAGCTTTCTTCGTTGAATTCCATGTAAACAAAACTTGAATCTTGATACCCTTCTCTACATCACACTCAGATGAGCATCCTTGGGCATAGGTTATTCATCAAAGATTAGATGCGGTTACCGGTTCAGGGTTTAGAATACGGTTCACGTTGACGACGCGAAGCATCCAGTCATCGCGTCTACGTCCATTATGGAGATGGAATAAAAAAAACCACTTCTAATTTGCACATCCATGCCAGCGACTATTTCCTTTACTACTCTTATATTGAGCTAACAACGGATGACAGGAACTCAGCCATCAGGTCTAATCTTAGACCTGTTATATACATCATAAACGAGAGATTTTTTTAATCTACATTCCAACCACACGAGAAGTATGTAAACCATATCAAGGAAACCCATATGTATAAACCGTTCCCAGAAATGAAACCACTGCAAAGCCAGCAAATAGTAATCTCTTCAACTTAAACTACTGATCGGGTTAAAAACGAACGAGACAAAAATACTAACCTTCCTCTTTTTTGTTCGAGCCGGCGGTACGGGAGCTGGAGAAGGAGCTGGAGACCGCTCCTTAACGGCGGGCGACTTACTCGATCTCGACGTGCTCGGCGGTGAGCCAGGTGCTGGATCTTCACATACTATAGTTGGAGAAGACATTTGCTCATTTTTGCTAGGTGCTTCCTTCACTGTTGACGTTGGTGTGGGTTCCACGACTGATGACGGCGGAGGAGACGGAGATATCTGGGAAAGGGCAAAAATATCTCGCATTCTGGATGGCAGTAAAAGTGCATCAATAGCAGCCATATGGTGATTGAAAAAATGACTATACTGCCCTAATTATCCAGGCAGAATATCAACTTACAAGAGAAATTGGTCGATGTTTCTGTCTCTCCCCAACATGGACTTTCGGAAGCTCAACCCTTTCTGGCTCGAATGTACACTTTCCAAGATAAAGGTACCTTTTCTGAAATGGGATGACTCTTCTCCGACTGATTTCCCGCTTGTTCCACTGAACCACTGGTGGGATCTGACGCTGCGCTTTCCGGATGAGCATTCTCTTTCACATCATCATGAGATTTTTCAGGTGCCTTTGAAACCTCCACAGTACTCATGACACAAAGGAGGTTTCACCTAAAACATATAGTCTTTTATCTAATCAGAACAAATATCATAACAACTCGTACAACAAATCAAACGAAAAAATCGAGATATCTATCCTAAGTATTCCTAACGACTGCTGACGTTGACTTATCGATCAATACGAGCACGAACGATATGAAACATAAAAACATCTACAAAACAAACAAAAATGGTCTAAGGTTTCGCAAATGGTGACGAGAGAGATAAGATAGCAATTGTGAAAAGGCCTCGTCGAAGGACTCGAGATAGAGGCTTGAGCATTATGATTTTTGGGCCGGTCGTAAATGACCATGTGTACTCGGTCGCTCTGCAGCCATTTCTTCGTCGATTTCTTCGAGAAACGTTTCTTGCTTTACGGCGTGAATCGTGTAATAGTAGATACCAATGACAAGGCAAACCAACACCGCCATAGCGATGTGGTTTTTGTAATTCTTCGCAAAGAGCTCCTTTATTCGCTCTTCGTTTACCTGAATCGAAAACTGTTGAGAAGATGTAGTGAAATGGTCACGAAGCTCAATAAAAACATGGTGTCAGTAAACAAAGAATCACGCATTTCTAGGTTGTCGACATTTGTGTGGAAAAATAAAGGTAGCAATGGTAAAACAGGGCTAAACAATGGCAACGCGCATTTATTACTTTTCACAAAATCCCCTTAATCTCGGTAACGGTGGTCTTTCAAAAAAGTATTTTTCAAACAAGTCTCTGATCGAATCTTTGAATTGTAGCCTTTCAATGTTCAATTCCACGACCTTTTTCTCCGATGGTCTTCCGTCTAGTCGCTGGTGAAAATTGATTCTTTGGAATATTAGCCACCCTGCAACCAAATCTCATCCACTGCTTCATCGTCAAAAGCTACTGTCTCTGAGGGTATTCGGAAGATTCCAAAAACAACACTCCCAGTGTGAGGTAAGGCGGTTTAAGGAGAGTAGGAAGGGGCCGAGGGGTAGGGGTAATGGATGGCACCCGCAGAGAGGCTGCCAGGAGCGCGGTTTTTGCGGCCTAGCACCACTACCTTGTCATTTGAGGAGAAATTGCATTAGTCAAAATGCAGACTAACACACTTTATATAGAACTCAGATCTTGACCCATAGAATAATCCAGCAAAAATTTCACACTATCCAGGATAGATTATTTCGAAGTCTAGGCGTAAGTTATGCTTCAACTAAATACAAAACAACAGCGCCTTGTTAATCACAGCTCTTCTCACTTTAGGTTATCTGCATTGGGCAACTGCTCGGCAGCTACACTGACTTTAAACCCAGTTCCAGAACTAAATGGATAGGCAAACCTATTCGGGCTTGAAGTTAGGTTTGAACAGCATAACAAGGAGATAGAAGACGCCTAGCAATTGATTTTCGTAAGGAGTCATCAACTCGATTTTAGAAGAAAAATGTCGAGATCAGAGGATTCAGAAGACAAACAAATTCCTAGAGCATTCTAGAAATTCAGTGCACTTTCATATTTCGAAAGAAAGTCTTTTCGTCGGGCCGCTTATGTGATGCTTTGCCGCGAAAATTTTGAGTCATCGCAGTGTTGTCAACATCAGGGCAGAAACAGCACAGGTTCTTCGACAGAAAACATAGGTGTTGATGGACGAAAACACCTTTGAGACAGTCAATTTCCAACCACAACGTAATTCGGCCGCAAATCGAATGAAATAGAAATTACTGCTGTAAATGTATGAAAATCGATACGGATCTATTCTATGAGCAATGTTTGCCCAAACTCTTCGCCCATACAATAAACGCAATCAAACACAGCCTGAACTAGCAGCACATCATCGACGGAGCGTTACATTTACTGTAAAAGGGGAAACGCCAGCACGTACATGAACAATTATTCCAAAAGAATCGACCTTTTCAGTGAAACACTATGAAACATGTTGAGCGAGTCCGATTAGTAATTGCCATAAAAGGATGCACCAACGAACTGAACGTAACCAGTTTAACATTTTATCATTTTAGGTTCGACAAACTCCTCATTTTCTCTGATCAAAAGATGGATTCGAGTAGGAAAAAGCATTCATCAGATTATTCTACTACTCTGACAATTGATTGGTCGTGCTCGTGCAGGGGCCGATTAAATTATTATCCCATCGATGTCAATGCAAAAAGTAATCTGGATAATGGTGAAATATCGTTAAACGCAGCTGTGGTGGCAGCAAAAGCGACAGTCAGATGGTTGTCAACTGGTAATACGGTGGCAATGACTGTTAGAGAATGTTTCAGGTTCGCAAGGTTGTATAGCTCTAAGCCGGCCAATTTCTTTTGCATCGTGCCGCTGTTTAGATAGATAGGTAATGCTTCGAGATATATAGAAAAGAATGAAAATGGAATAAAAAGAAGCCATTAATTAAAGCCAACGTCCAGAAAAGGAAGATCGAAGGCAATGATTTACTACGCAGCGATAAGAATTCTCTGAGGTGAACGGGGAGGTTCGCCATAGAATAAAAAACAAGCAGGAAGGGTGGTTGGATGAAGAGCCACGAGAGCACTAGCAGCACAATCACTTCATTTAATACTTTTCAGTTGCTTCGTCCCGAAACTTATTTGAAGTGAGGGGTTAAGGCCAAAACGTTATGCTGGATGAATTGAACGGATCTAGAAGAGCATACCAGAATTAGGGAAAGAGTAACTCAAAAGTTAGCGTGAGGTCTCACCTTCTCAAACTGCTTCGCAAACCGTTTTTGAGCTCGGGGAAGGTCTTCGATGTCAATGGTTTCCAACATATCGTCATCCTTTTGTTTTTGAACATCTAAATGTTAACGATATACAGAAAAGTCAATAAATGGAGTGTCTGATCGGTGTATGGATCGGCTTACCGGTTGCTGTAGTCGTAGGTGCAGTAGTACGATATCGCACCCATTGCCTCTGTCGAAGCAGAACGCTCCTGACCCGTATAGCGGCACGGGAGAACATATAAAGAAGAAGAAAACAATATGCTAGCAGCAATTAGAACGTCATGCCGATTGATTAAATTGTAAGAACGCACGAAAGGTTTTCCAAAAGCAAAAAACACCCCGGTAAGCTTCAAAAACGAGTAAAATGGAAGTTTCTTACGATTGATTCCGCTTTCTTTACTAATATTTAAGATTTTGCTGATATTCTTCCAGTTTTTTGTTCTAATCTATTATCGTGCTAACAAAATCCTTATCGACAGTGCTCAGAAAAAAAATCGCTCGAACTCTATTCGAAGAGACAGAACAGCCCAATGACCTCTAACGAAGACACAATGGAACACCTTACTGAACAATGATTTATGAAAATGAATAAACAGAAAAACAGTGGGAGCCAGCTATTGTTCGCATTAGACATATTCGAAAAGAATCGTTACATTCCCATAGAAGAAATCAAGTTCATGAGAAAGCAAACAAGAAAACGGCATGAAGGATGCGAGCAAGCTATATTCAGCCTACACAAAAATGCTGCACTGGGAGGAGATAGCTATATGAACGGGCAGAATGTCGTTCCCAGTCTATGCCTGTGCTACAGAATGCATAGGTAAAGACTCCCTTCTAACAAATTCAATAACAATGCAGCAATGACAAGTCCCTCAAATAAACAAAGCATCACTGTAAGCTAGTTCTCACGCTGAGCGTTTGATCTGAGAACATAGGAAAGTTTATTTGATACGATACAGACGTTTAGTTTACCCTGCCCCTGTAAGACCTTACACCTACCCCTTTGAAAACTTTGTCTTCACCCGAAAGGCCCGAGCTGTCAGAGATGAAAAAGGGCAACGAAAGAAAAAATGGTAAGAAAGGAGCGGAGTGTTAGGGAATGAGCTACAGAGATCTGCATTCCGACAGGATCAGGGTCGTCCTGTAATGTAAACAAAAGTATAGAGTGCTAGAGAACTAGCGGTACCTTAAAGCGAACATTTCCTGGTAATGAAAGCAGGATGAACCCACATAGTGCAAAGTCTCAGTGGGACCATTACATTTTTTGCGGCACAACGCTTCAAATTGAACGATGCCTTGCAAGCTTGTTCAGTCTCATTTCATTCCAATAATTGCACCAATGCCTCAGAAATGGGATACAATGAGCTTTCATGAATAACATGGTAAGATAAGGATGGTAATCGAGCAGGTAATGCCAAGAGGGTAATGCCTTCGAAACACTTTTCGAGTAACAGCTGCACAGAAAAAGTTGGCCCTACCCTTCCACTTCTTCCAAACGACTTTATCGAGCAGCATTTACAATGTATCACGATAACAAAAGGCAAGAAGTGTGGTTCCATTAGATATCTTCCACAATATGACCGCATAATTCAAAAGATTACAACGCAATGTCATATGCAACTCTAATAAACTTCACTTAATACTTGTAGAAATTCACCCAGTCACATCTTGGAACAGGCAAAGTCCAAAATACAAACGATCGATACCTTCTTCACCCATGTGGGACCACGATGCCATACGAAAAGTTCCAAAAACTTCAAATTAAAGGAATTTGAAATCAAGACAAAAAGTCTTGCAAAATTCAAAGAGTCGTAAATCGATAGCAGTGTCCGTAATTGCGCTTGTTACAGTACCGTGCAAAAAATTACACAGCACACACGTGATAATACGGCTTTTCCATAAGTTTTGTTGCTCCTCTCATTTAATAGGAGCGCTTTAATCGTATAAAGTTTGATTGACTTGTGATTTAGAAAGTACATGAACACAAGGAGATTGAGTCAACATAGCCTAGCTCTCCTCTTTCCTCAATTGCTTAGTGCATCGAGTTTAAGGAAGATTCAAAAGATTCAGAAATAGGCTTTAATGATTTGCTTTTATCTTCCCGAAAAGTGAGTCGTCGATATGTCGGAAGCCGCAGGCCGAAGGAAAAGGTGAAGTTTCAATTACTTGGATGGTTTCGCAATCCTATCCCAGTTCACCTACTTGTGTACTTGAGTATCGACTGGAGCTCCTACTCGCATTGACTCAGCCACAGCCCAACATTTTTCCCTTTTATTCATTCATAACTTATCGATCATAAAAGAAAAAGTTCTTGCTATTCATGTGGTTTTCTATCTATACGAATTCCGCTAATACTCCTCTCTTCTGGGGTCATTGTCTATGTGTTGATAAATTTGGATCACAGATGCACCTGGACGAGTTTTCCTTTTTTTTCCTTCCAATGCTTTTCCTTCAGTTAAACATGATTCATTTATTTTGAACGAACAAATTCATAGAATAGAATCGTAAGCCCCATCCAAGTTCATATGTACTCGAAAAAATATTACAAGGACAACTCACTTGACTGAGCAAATTTTGGAATAGAATTTCACTTTCAAAGGTAAATTAATGGAAAAATCTTAAAAGATAGCTTGTCGAATAATCTCTCTGATATCATTATATAACCAGATGCTTTGCTTGGGAATTATAAAATAGCTATAGTCTCATACAATGCATCAGTGCCAAGAACATTTTTTAACCTGGAATATATGCTTCGTGTGGCTCTTCGAGAAATTCGTCGCTCTTGAAGGGGTCAGAGAATTTTGGGATGAATCATTCTTATAGGGGACAGGGTTCGGTAATTAAATGTTGAAATGCTGAGTCTGAGCAAAGCGAGTACGGTGAATACTGGTCGAATGAGTATGATAGGGCTGCCAATTTATGTAGGCACGCCATGCATCCGCGACGCATCCCTATTCAAAGTAGCATTCAAAAGGAATGGTCTACAGAAATTCCATGCACGACAGTCAACAATAACAACTACGGTCGATAGTCGATAATGAAGTCATCGCTTTTGATTAGTCGGACAGGATAAGTCGGTGCAGCTAGCGGGGGAGGGGGAAGGTGAAGATGGCCAGCCCATATCTCTATGTAAATGATGCTTGCTCGCCAATCTCAGACCCTATCGTAGACCGTAGTTAATACATTACAGCTTAGATTCATTTTCATCTCTATTCGAATGTTTTTGAGCATTTGCCCTGTCGTAAGTTCACCAAGGTTCATTAAGGAGTGAGAGGGGAGGGTAGGGGAAGAGGGTAGGGGAGCGAGCGGAGGGGGGTGGGGGATGAACGAACGACAAACGACAAGTGGAAATGGGCGCTGCCATAACCCGAGCGATCCATGGGGACCACGCAGATCTGCGAAATCATCTGTGTCAAAAACATTATTTATTTCTTGTTTATTCGTTTATTCATCCATTACGCTAAGAGTATTCAGCAAGAATTCTGAAAATGACAAAAGACGAAGTCTGAGCAAATTTTTGCTCTTAAACCGAGCTACCTACCCTTTAAAATAATTACGTAAGCCTGCTGAATCACCCCATGTGATTCTGAACGGAGATCGAGAACACGGCGCATCCCGTAATGGTCCCTCTGCACGCTTTAAACTGTATTGATAAGAGAGATAAGCGTGGCGCTGTGCCGGATAGGATGTTGGACATTCTTATTCACTCGAAAACGCTTACAACTCCATTACCATTCAATCTTAATCTTTTTTTCACATAGAAGAGACAGGTTGGACATAGTGTTTACGACAGACGCACAATGATATCGGAAAGGGGTTGATCGATTGTTATCAATTGTCATCATTCCTGCTGATCGGCATAGTTAATCGTTTACGATCTTTGCTATCATCTTTTTCAGACGAAATTCTACTTGTACTTGTTTTTTTTTAGTCCTCTCAGCATTTCACCATCCAAAAGTTCAAGCCAAAAGCAAAGATATCAATGGAAAAGCTCTTTACAATCTCGTTTCCTGAAGGAAATTCGAAAACTTTTCTGAGCTCCACATATTGTGCAAGCTCCACCCATTTTGTGAAAGCCCCGCCCTTAGAGATAAGACATTGTGGAAAACCTGCTTCAAAATATTTACATCAATAATTTTTCTGTACTGCTACACTGCTCAAAATAGCCACACCAATATACTACTTGAAACTCATGGACCCATTATTCTGGTTGCTTACGTTCTCACGCCTATTTTGTATGGGAAATATGGGAAATGGTCCATTTTTGTTTACGCCGACAATATTCGCATTGGAACATAATTATATTTGCCCCCGTTTTTCACGCGAAACTTTACGCCTTATCGTCCGATTAGATCGCGAATCGACTGACCACTGACTCATAGCTTTTTGCTTTCGGCCGCATTTTCTTGTACCGACATTGCTTCACAAACAAGCCATTCCTGTCCTGTTGCTTGCTCCTTGTCCTTCTAATGTCATTCAACCTTCGAGCGAAGTTACTTCAAAGATCACATCCCCTCCCCCATCTCTTCCTCACTCATCAACTCACCCATCTATTTCATCCAATAATTGGCAGAGGAGATTTGTTATGGAAGTGTTAATTTGACTTATTTGTTACAAAAGAATGTGTCTAGGAGTGAGAGGAAAGGGGGGCTCACGCAGAAGTTTTCGGAAGAGAAACTTGTACGCCATGCACTTCTGAAGAGGCGGTTGTGGCTTTGAAGGTTAGGATCATGTACTACTGCTCGTAATTCTTGTGCGCTTGAAGATATCACTTCCCGGAAGTCTAATAAATCTTTGTAGGGAAACGGGTTCCCATGGTTATTTATACCATTCTGGTTCTAGTACCTATCTCCGGTAGTTCTTCATCATCCTTCGTTGCCTTCCCGGCTATCCTATATCCATCAAAGGGTTTTCTACCGAACTCTAATCTTTCTGAGAAAAGATGGAATTTCCCATTAACGATTTTTCGTTAAAATGTTAGTCTGGGCTGGCATTTTAGACGAAGGTGACTTCGGACGTCGAGCACACTTGCTATGTTGCCCAGGGAAACCATTCGTATGCTTATAATATGCCTGTTACTCATTAACATATAATAATTTTATATTCTACCCATTTGCTATTACTCAAAGTTCGATAGAGTTCTTAGGGAAAACATTTTTGTTCTTAAGCAATAAATTGGTAAAATGCTTACAAAACCTTATCTGACAGCTGTCGCCGGAAAGTCAGCTGATAGGAAAGTGGCATGTAACTTCCACCAAGTTCCTCTGTTAGCTATGTGACTCGGGTACTGGGAGAATAGATCGGGTCATTGCGAGTCTTGCCAGAGGATCTATCAGTATTACCAATCGATACCGGTCAATAATTTCTTCATACGCTGTGAAATGGTAGAACTTATTCATGTCAGTGAAGGCTCCGGTGATTTCCTCTGCTTTCTGATTAATTGTTTACAGCTTCTTGTTTACAATAAGTTTCATTGATCTCACCTGCCAAGTTCTCTTCCGTGTTTCCGCTACATTATGGGTGCCGGAACGTCTAACGTTGTCAAAGAGCGTTTCTTCAGAATGTCGTTATCTCGTGCTTATCTGGGAATGCAATGTTTCTGGGGAGAATCTGCATTTGCCAAGGTAGAACTACTTTTTCCTCCCACATATCTACTTTTCATTACTAAACTGTTTTCTTTTCATAGTTGAAAGGCGTGAAGAAGACTCGAGTAGGCTATGCTGGAGGTACTACCGTCAACCCGACTTACCGAAATATTGGTGATCATACAGGTTCGTTACTGCCTGTGGCCATTGAAGTGCGGGTATTCCATCGAATTTCATTTCCAGAAGTGACCGAGGTTCAGTTTGATCCTGCCGAGATCTCCTATCGCCAAGTACTCGACTTCTTTTGGTCTCATCATAACCCAGCTGAAAGACGAAAAAAGCAATATCAGTCAGCGATTCTTTATGAGACAGAAGATGAAAAGAAAATCGCCGAGTTGACGTATTCTCAGGCCAAAGTTCGTTGGTTACTTTAATAATCATCTTAGCCACATAGTCGAGAAATTTCTGGATGATTCCAGGCCAAGTACGGTGATATAGAGACGTATGTAGTCAAGTTGGATAAGTTCTACCAAGCAGAGGACTACCACCAAAAATACTGGCTTCGACAAAGGCATGATATATTCAATGAAGTGGGTACCAGTTTGAAATTCCTTTTCTGAAAGCCAAAGTACAACCTCTATTTCCAGCTCAAATTAACTGATGATCAAGTCGCCAATTCCGTCCTGGCTGCCAAGGTATGCATGATTTTTCGAATTTCCTGGACCTGGAAATCACTCGAAACTCACACGCCCGAACTCTTTCAGAACATATTAGCTACTATCACTGCTTCTCAAACAGTAGGTAAAAAGTAGAAGTCTACTTGGTTGCATCTGCACCTTTCTAGATGATTGGGGAAGTGGAGGCCTAAAGTGCTCATCCCACTTACGTCTTACAGACCCCGCCCATATGTAATTCACTGCAGACAGTAGCGCTGAGATACTCATTATCCACATGACCATGAACAAGAGTTTAGGCCATTAGGTTAAATTTTCTGAACAGCGGCTCTCAATGTAGGGCTCAAAGTGCCGATTCGATCCGAAAAGTTAACGCATCCATGGTCACTCCTTTCGATACTGTGTCCCAGCCAGGGATAAGTGTATAAGAAATTCTTTTTACAATTCTTTCTGGGTGAGCACCGACCTTCCGGGTCAGCAAACCCCGCCCACTCAAAGGCCACGCCCCTTAAGCGCGCTCTAAAAACGTCCTCCCTTTGAAAAAACTACCTGTCCTCCAACGTTGATGTTGAACCAAATTGGTCTTTCAGATGAACGCCTATTGCGCTGGATACACAGATTTCTCAGAGCTGGAAGAGCTCAAGAAACAGCATGGACTAAGTGATAGTCTTGTGGAACGGGTCAAACAATTTGCCTCTTGTGGTGGTGATCCCAGGAGTTGTCACTAAACAACATTCCCGTTTCCACTCTTTTCCTACCTCATTGCCCAGTGCTCTATCTACACTAACAATAGGATCTTTAGTGATTACTATGTCCCAAAATATGTCCTAACTTAAATGTGGTGTACTTTTTGTATGATTTTTTCAAGCCGCTTATTGTTTTTTTTCCTCAGTTCATTTTGAATTTTGTTTGAAGACACATTCCGTGTAAAGCTAACCTGATTGACTTACTATTGCTTCGTTTTCTTCTCTTAAAATCAAAGACTCACAGTTTATTGTTGTGGGAATTTTTGCTGGGAGTTGCTCCCTGCTTTTCAAGCGTTACTGCTCCCTTCACAAAACTTATTTGTCAAACCATTTCCCCACCTATCGAGTAACCTACCGTCTGAGAACTTTCCCAGAAGTTTGTCCACAACATCATGTACCCAGAACGGAACGTGTCTAAAACTCTTCATTGATGAGTCTTGCCTTTCAACTGTGCAATTTCCACCTATTCCTATTTCGTAAAAAAATAAAGCATTCATTCGAAGTTAAGCTGGTGGCATGGGGAAAAAGTAAAAAGGTTTCTGCGTCGTCACCCTATCCCTTCCAGAAGTCGCCATGCGATTTATTTCCCACCCTAGTCATAGCCTTGGAATGATTATTCGGTCCACACAATACTTATGAGAGCGAGCTTAGGAGATGTTGGTGTTTATCCTCTTCCAGAAAGTATGGGGAAATCGTTCTTCACACGGAGTGCAGGGAGTCAATTAGGGACGGTCTCGTGGAAGCCATCGAAAGAGTGAAAGGGTTCAAGGCTTCCGATATCTGAAGAGATCTGGCTGCCGAAAGTAGCGGAGACCAGGCTATAAAAGCTGAAGTAGATGCGGCATGGATGAAGTGAAGGGAGTCCTCCGGTATTCTCTGCTACTGTCGGTGCTCGAGGACGCTCGAACGAACATGTGCCGGGCAGTGGTGGGGCACACGATGCTCCATGGCGTGAGTGATGGCCCATAGGTAGAAAAGAGGCAGCTTCACTCGGCTGAAA